GAAATCGCAAAAAAAATAGTTCAAAATTTGTTTTATGCCATAAACAACAAAAATTTTCTAAAAAAAAACAGAAAATTCTTACATGTCATTTTGTTCTCCACGATAAGCTCTGTTCCGATAAAGTTGTACTCGAAGATTTCTATATGTTAAACTATAAATAAGTGTTATTAGATCAAATTTTGGAGCATGTTTTGATGGTGATACACTTGTAAATATACTATTCATTGTATTAAAACGTATTGATAAACAATATGGTAATGTATCATGTCGAATAGATATTCGGCCCTATTAATACAAGAAGCAAAACAATAACAACAAAAAAAAAAGAACAGAGACCAAATAAACTAACATGGTCAACTTTAATTTCAATAGCTGGAAAAAGACTTCGAAGACTTTGAATAAGAAAACCTTCTTCATTACTTTTTACTGTATTTTGACTTTGTGTATCATCGGATTTTGTCGAAATTCTTAAAAAAAAACAAAACAAAAATTCAAATAAAATATTCGCTTGATTAGCTTTGCTTTATTTTTTACCCATGATTTAATCCTTTATGTAAATCATCATTTGAATTATTTGTTTCTGAAAATGTATTTGAACGAATTGGAGTAGAAAATAATATATCAACATGATTAAGTTTTATTCTTAAACGTATCACTGATTTTTTATTTGTTCTAGACCAATAACGAAAAATTAAACAACCATCTCTAACAAAAACAAAATAACTTCCTGTTGTATAATGTAAATTTCTAAACATAATTGAACCAGATATAAATGATATTGAAAATGAATCAAATTTAATTTGTGTTGCATCTTTAAAGTAAAAACGTCTTAATATATATGATAATATAATACCTTGTACACGTGAATTATATAATATAATATAAATTATCCAAATAATAGTTAATAAATAAACAATAACAAGTAATGGAATTTGTTCACGATGTGTTTCAAAATAATTAATAATTTCATTTGATATATCTTCAAGTGTTGATGGAGTGGTTAAACTAGGAGACATTCGATTTGAATTTGAAGTATATAAAGATGTATTCGAATTAGAAGAAAATTTTGTTTGAAATAATGGTTGCATTTTATCACATCTTTCTTTTTCTCTCGAAAAAAACACAATAGATTATTTGCAAATTTCGTCTCGTTCGAATCATCATCGACGACAATTAGGTATTTAATGGTGGTTTTCGTAACCAATGAATTCCTAGTATATATACATATATGTCTATAGCGAACTCTATCGATAATATGTGAGAACTAGATTGATTTTTAGCATTAAACTGATTATATTATTCAAATTGTCTATCATTAGAATAAAAATTTTTGAGTTATTTTTTACAGCATTTTAATAAAAAGGTCAGATTATTGAATCAGCAATATGAATATTTGTAAATTTTAGTAAAACAACAATTTTTGTGTGCATATAGAAGGTGATTGAAAAAAGTTGAAACAATAATATATTTTGGATTTTTTCCTATGATTTTGAGCATCTAGCTCAAATACATATAGTGATTTAAATAGCTAATGAAGGTTTTTTTTACCAAGATTTCATAGATGAACTATGACGGTAAGATTTCTAAAAAAACCTGACACGATAGTTTTCAGATCTTAGAACACTTTGCCGGAACTATTTTTTAATAATGCTATTTGAATGAGCATAAAATTCTGAACAAAATGATGGATTGCTGCATTTTTTACGACCTTCCCTTAAAAAAGTTAAAAGTATCACACAAATCGTAAGAAAAACGAAATTTATCTAAAAATCGCCTTTTACCATGTCCGGTTTTTTTAGAAACCTTGCCATCATAGTTTAAGCTATGAAATCTTGTTATAGAATGCGTTATATGGAAAACTCCATTGACTATTAAAATCATCATATGAATTTGAGCTAATTGTGTAACATAATAGATAAAAAGAAATTGATTGTTGTTAAACTTTTTTCCAACATCTTATATATATATATATGAATACAAAATCCAATGAAAGTCAATATTGCCATCAGCAGTAATTACATAAGTATCTTTTATTACTGCGAGTATCAGTCATTATATAGATAAATGTTCAACTTTGGTTAGAATTTTTTATAGAACGAAATTAAATAGTTAAATATGACAGATAATGTTTAATTTAAATGTTTTTGTTTTTTTTTCTATGAATCAACATTATCATATACTATGACTTTCTTTTGTTGATCAATGATTTTCAAGTTGAATACAACTATTTTTAATATTGTTTGTGGTTAATTAACTCTTGAGGTTATACAAATAAATATTTAACCCACTAGGAGACCAGACATTTCTGTCGTTGATGTTTATTCTAGTGAAAATTCATAAACTCTCAAATAAAAGGTTATTCAAAAGTCATTATCATAAATTTAATTTTACTTTTTTTTTAAGTACCTAACAAATTCATATTTCAATTAAGTACATTAATTTTTAACGCGATAACATAAATTAAGAGAAGTCATCACGCACAAACAAACTTTTTTATTTTTCCATGGAATTCAACCAAAATTTCAGAGAATGTTAATCTTAGCTAGAGTAGATTGTGGTTAAAATATCTCCTCAAATCTGCGAGATATTCATGAGTTATAGTCAATTTATTGGTCAAAAGTATCCTTTATGTGGACAAGGTTTTCACCATTAGGATATGAGCTAAGCATATCAGAGTAGTTTTTAAATTGTAGAGTATCCTTAGGACTAGATCGTTTCAGAGCCCAGTTTTTTACGTTCTCTTTGTTCGCTTTAAAAAAAAAAGAACTTTTTCGAAAACTTCTCAAAAACGTGAACAAAAAGTTGGTAATTAATATCAAAGATTTAAGTTTTTATTTTAGCAAAAGAGAAAGTCAAAAATCAGGTTCTCATACGACCTAGCTCTAACTGTTCTCTATGCAACAAAAAAAAAATTTATCACTTCTATATTGAGTCGCTATTGAGAGTAAGGTTTGTCCACGCAAATATTATACTCGAAAAAACGAATTTTAAGAAAAACCTTTGTAATATCCTTAAAGCTCATCATAAAATCAATCAACTATAGTGCATTCGAGAGTAGACACTTTGCTCTATCTATTGGGCTATAAATTATAAAATTGACAAAAATTGACTTTGTCTGAGAGGGGACCTTCCTTAACATATTCATTCAATATAACTAAAATTATTTGCAAATAATTGATTTCAAATATATTTTGTTTTCTTTTTTTTTTACATACATACAATTGAAAGATAGTCATTTGCATATTCAAAATAAAACGATTTGTTTTTTTTTTCTTAATCAATTATAATCGTTTTTTTT